AGTTGCATGGTGAAAAACAATGTATGACTGGTTTAAAGCTCCTCATGAGTAGTGTTTATATTCATTCAAAATTGTTCGGACAATATTCAAATATCATTCATGTGATTGATATTTGAATATCATGAATACAAACACTATAAAAAACAATATTGATCCCTGAAATCCTTGATATGCAAATGTTCACTTTGTCTGATTTTGTTGCAGCATGCCCCATATAATGTAAATCAAAAGTCTATAATTGTCATTACACAGTAAATCTTGGTTTAAAAAAATCTGTTAAACTGAGATATCAGAAGGTTTTTATTAAGGTTTTTTAATTAGTATCTGCTAAATCGAGGTCCGCTAAATCAAGATTCACTGTGTATTATAAAATAATTTATGTTTTTAAAAAACGGGTTGTTGCACGATTTACTTTATCCGCAATATCCCGTGACTCTTAATGAGATTAATATTAATTCACTAATACTAACTCGATACATTATATTTTCGAAAAAAAATGTCGTCGCCTTTCATTGTTTCATTAATTCTTTGGAATCAACTTCCCAAAGCTTCTGTGACTGCTATTGCTTATAAAGACGGTCATATTGTAACTGGTCTTAAAGATGGTAACATATGGATATACCGATGTATTATAGATGAAAAAGGATCTATTCAGGTACCAACTCTTATTATTACTTGTTTTACTGGAAAGGAAATGAAGTATCGATATCATTAACATTAACTTGCTAGAATTAATAATAAACATTAGAACACCTTTTCTCAATCAATCATTCCTTCATTAAATTCACGATTAATTAATTAATTAAATAGTAGTAATAATAGTAGTAATGACAGACATTCATAAATTCTCATTCTCGCAAAAAAAAATATCATTGAATTAATTTTTAACAATTTCTAAATTAGATTTATTATCTTTCTAGTTGCAACATAAAGTACTTTGCGTAGGACATAAAACCCCCATTGCTGCTTTAACCATTCTAGAAGATCAGATTGATGGCTGCGCAGGAAATAATCATGTACTTATAAGTGCTTCTGAAGATGGGTTTGTATTTATTTAAGCAAGTAATTAATTAAATTATAATGGATTAATTAATTATCATGAATATTTCATAGAGATGCTATGAAATGGTGTTTATTAGACGGAAGATGCCTTTTGTCGGTTTCCAGGGTTTTTGATGGCATACTAAGAAATATCAAACCGTTAACTAAATATCCTCAGGTAGTTGCAGTAGTAGATTAAATTAAATTGATAAAAACTTTGTAATTATAAAATTTTCAACGTCTAAACCAAAATTTTCCATAATAAAGCCGTCAAAATATTTATTATGTTATGGCTTTTCAAATGAAATCTTGGTTCTAAATAGTTCTTCTTTAGAGGTTTGATTAAATTATTTTATATTTTATATTTTATAATAATTTATATATTTAATTATTTATGTTTATTTATTTAGATCATTAGAGTGTGGGCAGGACATAATGATTGGGTTATTATTACCCCATTTTATGATTCAGGTGGTGTAAACATATATTATCACTGTATATTTATTATTTGATGAAAAAAAAAACAAGATAATTAAATAATTAATGTATTTATTGTAGATGTTCGACAAACAAGGTTATTAACATCAAATTTTAATGGAGTTCTGAAAATATGGGCATTTGATGAAGTTAAACAAACAATATTAAAAGAGCATGACAATATTGGATTACTTGATGCACAAGGTGATAAAATACTGGAATTAATTAATAATCCTTATGATATAGGTGTAATAATGGCAGTAACAAGAAAATTTGCTATAGCAAGTATCATTCTATTATAATATTCGCTTTTTGATAGATTTAATTCGATTAGAGCATTATATTAAATTTAAATTTTCTTAGATATTCACATTAAAAAGAGGTTTAATATTCAATATGCATCATATAAAAATATCCAATGATGATAAATATTGGGTTAATGGCACTTTTATGACAAAAAATAGAATAATTTTATGGACAAAGGTATTAAAGATTTATTTATATATATTTATAATTATTGATATACTTGCATACTTTTACTTATTTATTTATTTATTAGACTGGGGATGCATATTTATATTCAATTCCATCCACAGATAGAAAATTTCCGTCAGAAAATGGATATTTCCTTACTAAACCTATCCTTACCAGGCATAACTCCTTACCAATTTTTCCAAATTCTGTCGTGGAAAACACAACCTCTGTACCAAAGTGATTAATTATTAATTAATTAATTAATATTATTATTGTTATTCAATATTTAATTAACATATAATTAATATATTTTGAATTTATAAATTTTTGCAAAAAGGCCTGAATTACTTGAAATTATTTGTTCAGAGTATAGTAATTGTATTATAAATGACGCAGTAACAACAGTATTTATGATTTCTGGGATTGATAATAGAAAATTAAATAATAATTGGTATCTGATTACTTTTTACAACAATGTTGATGACACCTCATTTGTATGGAAATCGTTATCAACATTTCAACATGAAAATCACAATAATGATAATAATCAAGCTATAAATTTACGAGAATCGAAATATTCTTCTGGTGAGTTATATATTTATATTTACATGTATTTGCTTATTTGCATATTTATTTATAATTAATTAATTAATTAGAAACAAAATTGTCAAGTATATGGCCATTAAATAAGCACAAATCTACTAAAATTACTATAATAACAGCAATTGGTGATGAATTAATAGCAGTTGGTTTTGGTATGAATATATATTTTTATAGATAATATTTTATTTTAACAAGTTTTAAAGTTTAAAATTTTTTTTAAAAAAAAAAATATAGAAAATGGAGAAATTCATATTTTCCCGATACATATAGTACTTGTAAATTTTGAAAATATTTTACAACAAATCCAAACAACAACAAATCCCTCCTCTTCCTTCTCTTCTTCCAACAACAATCCAATCCAGATTTTTAAAGGTCATAATGGTAAAATTACTTGTCTTTATAAACCAACTATTAGCAGCCATGGTGGTAAATATTTATTATCGGGTGGTGAGGATTGTTCTGTAAGAATATGGGATTTAGAGTAAGCGGATTTTTTTTCTATTATTTAAAAAAATACATACATAAATATATTCATTAATTTGTATATGTGTATATAGAAATGGAAAAAGATTGGCATCATTTACATATCACGGACAGCAAGTTACGCATTTTTTTGAACCTCCATTAGAAGTATGTCCAAGAATTAGAGGATGTGTAATTTCTTACGCAAAAGATAATTCTTTGGCTATCATTTCATTGGAGGAAATGAGTTGGTAAATAATAAATAAATAAAATTTATATTTTTAGTCATATTTTTTTAAAAATATTTATTTATTTATTTATTATTATTGTTATTATTATTATTTAGTTTGTATACATTTGGCGGTTACTCTTTTCCTTTATCTAAAATTCAATGGAGAACATCAGAAAATTTTTTGTTATTATATTATAGTGATGAGACAGCACATATTTGGCATGTTAGTAGAATTGAATTTTTGGATTTTTGGAATTTCTTATGACAAAATATAATTATAAATAACAATATTATATTATTAGTAGTATTTGATCAAATAATAAATCTAAATTATTTATTTTTAGACGCAAAATTCAGAACTGCATCAAATTGTTGTAGGATCAAATGCAAGGGAAATGTTAAAAGATAAATCATGGAAAATAAGGTTTTAAGACAAAAAATTTGAACTTTATATATATGACTATTGTTAATATTTTCCTATAAATTATTTTAATAGCTCAATACCGCAAAAAAATGGATCAATTGATAATAAGAATAATAAGTTTCAAACAATAACATCATATCCAATTAACTCCCCCGATGATGGAATCACATATTTTTATGTGTTTTTAATAAACATCAAACAATTAATAAACGACATTTATCATTATCATGTTTCACAAATCGGTTCAAAATCAAGCAGATCAACAGAAACAACGACAACAGGAATAATGAACGAAGAATTTGATGAAAAACCTATTTCTATCTCTAAAATATTTTCATGGACAACAAATAGTTCTGCTACTCGTTCTGCTCCAAATTTATTACTATCATCAACTACACCATCATCATCTTCCATCTCTTCTCCCTCTTCCAATCTCATACAACAACAACAATCAGAATGCAAGGCTATTGATGCTAGAATTGTACAAGCTATTGTTTCTTCATTGATGTCTTGGGGAAATGATCCTACTCTTGATGGTATTTGTATAGAAAAATTAGGATTAAAAACTCCCTCTGATCAATTAACGTTTGGATCAAAAGGGTAAAATAATCTTTAAATAAATATATTTTATTTTATTTATAATAATAATTAATAATTAATTTTTATTGTATAGAACAAATGGAAATTTATCAATTGTTGCACCATATCCTAATGATGGTAAATCGGTTTGGAGAATATCACATACAATGACAGCAGCTCATTTATTATCAATCGTGGGTTTGACACGCTCATTTCTATCAATGAAAGGTAAAATATATCTTTTCTATAGAAGAAAGCATATTTATATTTATATGTTCAAAAATTGCGGCATAATTGATTTAAAAATTTAATAAAATTTAGGACTAGAAAAATACACAAGTGATATAATTACGCATTATGGCACCTTTTTGCCAGATCTTGTTGGTGAAAATTTTTATCACTCATCTTTATCTTTTCTAGCTAAATATTTTCAAGATCCTGTTGGTAAGATTTTATAAATCAATAAATTAATAAATTAATAAAAAAACGCATTAATCATTTTTTTTTTTTAGATGACATTCGACTTGCAGCAAGAACTTTATTTTCATCATCATTAAACAACATGCCAACAGAAGAGCAACAGTCAATTATAGATTATTGGAAGCAATTTTGTTAGTAAACTTTTTCTTTGTTATTATTGTTATTTAATTAAATTAATTGTATTAATTTATTTAATTAATTATAATCCAGTACCGTCAGTGACATCACCGGAAATATTTACCAATCAATACATGGTTAGATCTACAATGTTACTTGGAATTATTGGGGCAGAATATCCTAAAGTTTTATCAAAAAAGTGAATTTCATAATGTATTTGTGTTAAAAGAATCAATAATGATAAATTTCAATTGCTCAATCAGTAATCTTATAATTTTATTTTAGAGTTGCAAAGAACACCGCTTTATCATTAATTTTAATGTTTCACGACGAAACAAAGTTGGCTAATCGATTGATTGCTTTGGAATTATGTGGTAGAGGATTTTCAACTTGGGAGCCTCATATCCTTTAATTAAATTATATTTTTTAACATATATTTATTATTTAAACACGCCACACACATATTTACACACCTTAACAATCAATCAATTAAATACATTTTGATGCAGTAGCAGTTTTAAAAACAATATTTGGATTTGCAATAGACACCGATTCAAATATTTTAGCGATTATGGCACAAAAAACAGTATTTCAAATAGCTTTGGCCAATACACCATTATTTGTATCAACACTAACCCATGACACTAATAATTCCGAAAAACCTACAGAAAAAATAGGATTTCTTAAATTAATATCAATGTTTATTCGTAAAAAACCACTACTACTATATACAAATCTGTCATCTTTAGCTGAAGCTGTTGTGAAATCATTGGATCCAAATATACCAAAAATGAGAGATTCTGTTCTACCAATTACTACTAGTGTTTTATATGATTTAGTAAAAAATTTTCCTTCTATAGCCTTTCACGGTGAATCCCAAAAGCTTGCAGTTGGAACTTTGGAAGGTGCCTCGATTGTATATGATTTACGTACAGCTACTAGGCGATATATCCTGGAGGTGATTTTTTTTAGTGCTAAGTTACTATTTATTATTAATTTAATTAATATTTCTCGCTCATTAATATCATTAATTATTACCTAGGGCCACACAAAACCAGTTACTGCAGTAACTTTTTCAGGTGATGGACGCCTAATTATATCATGTTCACTTGAAGAAGGTACAGTCCGTGTATGGAATAATAGTCCGGGATTATTAGGTATGATAGCAGGATCGTTATCATCTAATAATACTTCTGGTATGATCAACAATAATGGTGGTAGGAATGGTATTTTAAGAACAACAGATGGCGGGGGTATTGTTAGTAATAAAAAAGGATTTAAAACTTTATCGAGTACTCTAAGACCCATTAAAACTTTCCCATTTAATCTGGGAGATGACGGTAATTATTTATATTTATATTTAAAATAATCATAATAATAATTCAATGATTGAATGGTTCGATTTGCTAATATATTTATTTAAATCTGAATATATATCCTTGTTTTTTTACTATTTATTTTTAATAATAAATATTATATATTATATATATATATATAGCAAATTTAACGATTTCTTCTATCCGAGAATCTGTATGTTTTGAATGGGTGGCTGATAGAACTGTAAAATTATATGTTAAGGATTTAATTATGTCTTTTAATGTGTAATTATATATATAGCATGAATATTTTATACATTTCTATCATTTATTACCTTATTTTGGACTATATATTTATTTCATTTTTAACATTTTTCTTTAAAAAAAGTCATTGCATATAATTAAACACATTCACACAAATAATATAATCAATTAATTGTTTACGATGTTAAACAAAGAAGATTTTTATCGTGTAACTTCGCATATTTTTTAAATGAATATTCTTACTAAACTTATTACTCAAACAGTATTTAAGTAGACAAGTTCTACAGTTACTTTGCGGTCAGTAGAGATTCTGTAGGACTTTCAATTCCGTATACTATTCTTTTTTGTTCCGTACATTTTTTTACTTTTGCTTTTTAATTTTTGTACGGAATTTGTGAATGTTGATTGCGTTGGGGGTCAGTTGTACGGTCTTCGATTCCATGATTTACTACGGAGGCGCAGATGTATGGGAATATGGAACCTGTATTAGTATATTATAATTAATATACTCGTTACTATTACTTTGGGCGTAAACCCCAACGCCACTAAGAAATTCTTGTTGTGTTTCAGTAATGTGCTTCAGAAATATGACCAGGTCAATGCATCGATGGAGCTTATATCTTGTACACTTATACTGTATGAACCACGTGATAATCTTCATCTCATTATTTATTCAGTCATTCGCTATATGATGAAGAATGTTATGGGTCTGAATGGTTGCAATAACAACAACCTTTTGGAAAAATTCCCATTTAAAAAATGTTTGAAGCTTTCAGAAGCTCTAAGTAAATCACGTTATTAATGTTCAAAAAAAATCATTACATCAACTTCACAAATCAATGGGATGATATTTAGAATCAATAAAAAAGGATTTGCTTCATAAACATAGAAATAGTTCAACGGAATCTTCTTCCTTTAAGACAATGATGACTTGGATTTGTTGGAACATCATCTGTTGAGGATTTGATGATTCTGTGATGGTATATTTCCCTGGAATACGCATTAGTTATAACGATAGTTGCATCATCACCCAAGTAATAAGTGTCGATAGTTACCTTTTTGTGGTGAGTTACAAGAATAATTTTTGCTTCGCATTTCCTTTATTTCCTTGACGAAAGAAAACCGGAAACCTTTCCCCGCTTTCATCAATTGGATAAGAAGGTAGTAGCCAAAGAATGTTATTCCAATTTCTGGAGTTCTTGAAATGTAAAAGTTTTCCAAATTATCAATGTCAAGTGTCATCTTGCTGAACAAAAATATTTGGCCCTTTTTCTATTTCACCCAAGTCAGAGAAATTAATTCCATTAAGAAGTTTAAGTAGGCCTATTTTTACTGTGGATGGTATATATTCAATATCAGGTAAACCGTTTTGAAGCTTTAATGATTTTTTTGTTTTTTCAAAGATGGTGGGTTTTCAGTGTTAGGATTAGGTCTTTTTGGTGTATTTATTGATTTTTTGATATTTTTTGAAGATGGTAAATTTTCAGTATCAGAGATTGATCTTTTTACAAAAGACATTTTTAATCTGAGATAGCAAAATTGTTATAAAAAATACATGGTGATGTTTAAAGCTCCTAATGGGTCGAGTTCGGGTTGACTTCGGGTTAATAAGAAAATTTTTGTGATATACATAAATTTAGATAATAATAAGTTTTATTTTATTAATTAATAAAAAGTCGAGACAGTCACAGTGGTTTAAAAGCTGCAATTTGTGTTATGCGTGACGTAAAATACAATTCATGATGCAAGAGATGTAAGACGGCAATTCGTGACGCAAGACGTAATTCAAGACAATTCGTGACGCAATACATAATTAAAGACACAGGGCTAGCGGGTGATGGCCGGAACTAACCCCATAGTTTAGGTCTAATTTTGCGGCGAAGTTGGCGAAACCTAAACTGCGGGTGAAAACCAAGCGGTCAATTAAACTCTATTGACCACAAAAGTGTTTTATTGAACAAAAAAAAAAGAATTGTTTTGTTTTATTATTATAAAACGAATTAGGTCAAAAAATGACATTATGATAATCATAATCTTTTTTAAATAAATAACAAAAATGCAAATATAAAATATTAATATAAAATACAAAACGAGAGACTATAGATCACATGCCCGGCATATGATTGGACGGCATTACGGTAAATCCGTTTTATTCATCATAAAACTTTGGTCATAGGTTTGGCAACTTAATTCACAGTTTAGGGAGTTTGCCCATGGTCTAGGTAATTTTTAAATTTCGTCACTAGTTTAAGAGCCTAAATTCCTAATTTCCATAGGTAAACTATTTCAGATTTGCTAAAATAATTTCAGCCACCATCACAAGACACAATCATGATATGTGTGTGAATTAATTCAAACTTTAATCACATATAAAACTCTTTATTTATTGCATGAAAACTTATCCAATTTTAATTTTTAATGTAACATCAATGCTTCATAGCCAAAAAGGTTTTATTAGCTAATGAATAATGTTTGCACCATGAATTGAGACTTGCATCTTGTGTCAGTTGTATAAAATTATGTTAGGTGGTGCAATTTAATAATTTTGACCTCAAGTGTAATTGGCACAGTCCAAAAAAGTTTTCGGGTTAGCCCAGCTCGTTTCGGAGCTCTAGTGATGTCTGTGATATTTATGTATTATGATATTATTGTTTGTTTTAAAATTTCGTAACAATTAAAATAATTTTGTAAATATTCATTTGTTTTGAACATTGTTGTGTTTCAAAAACGACTACAAGACATCCACTTAAACATGCAATTATTAAATGTTTAGATGTTGTTGCATCTGTAGAAAATTGTAATACAACAACAATACAACTACAACTCAGCATGAATACATTAAAAAGAAAAATTGATGATGTTGTTGATGTTGTTTATCAAAACAGAGAAATTGACAATTGATGTAGCAGCATATTTGTGTAAAGGATATGATTTATTTGTTACCAGTGAACCTTGTATATAATGTAAATAATTACATATAATAAATATGATATTATTGTAGGCACTTTTACATTCATGTATTGGATGAGTTTTACGAAAAGTCAAGTATATTGTTGGCAGTTTAGGTTCATGTTATAAACTACATACTCATAATTCATTAAATCATCATCTCAAAGTGTTTAAAGGGTTACATTGAAATAAAATAAAAATTTATTTTAAAATATTAAATTAAATATATTAAATTATTAAATTATTATGTATTAAATTAAAATGAGAAAAGGAATTCTAATAATCAAAGTAGCAAAAATAATAGACATAATAGTTATAACAATAACTTTCCAATCTGGAGTGTCAGGTAATAAAATTCTTTTTGATTGCAGGACACTTGTACAATGTGTATCAAGATAAATGTATAGTGCAATACACGGGAATGTTATAGCATAACTTAGATTCAACACAATATACCTAACAATTAAGTAAGAAGAGAATGAGCAAAAGAGTGAGTGGGAGAAATATTGAATTAGTAAATCAATCAACCAATCGATCAATCAATTTAATTTTTCAAGTACATACTAATTTAATCTTCTGACTACAAAATAACAAAAATGAAATTATTACCTTCTACCATCAAATGGATTAAATGTGTGCACAATATTACCAAGTATATGAATAAAGGAGGCAAAACACAATAACAACAATTGGTTGGGATGATTTATTATTTTTGGTGCAATTGAATTTTCCTCATTTCTTGATGATGAATTTTCCATATTCATATCTTCATCATCTATAATTGGCAGTTGAGCTGATGTTTGTTCCCTGACATATTCACTTGTTGATAAATAAATACGTGTGAATACTATTAAGATTGCAAAATCTGAGCAAAAACCTACGAAACAAATTAAGTATTTAGTAAAATATATGTGTATCGCTCATCCTCGCATTTTTCCAATAATAAATATATTTACCTTGCCACTTAAACCATATAGCATCATAAGGCCATGATAAACTAATATTTATAACATTGACAAGGAATATATAGCCACCAACTATTCCATAAAACCAATATGAAGAGATCTTACCACCTTGTGACAACAGCAACATAACAATCACCTCGCCGATAATATGTAAAGTTCCAAATATTGACCATAATTTACCAATATCAAATATAAACAATGTGATAGTTGCCAATGCTGTGAAAATCAAATAATAGCTTAGAAATCGATTAAAATAGATTGATGATATTCTACTCCCATTCTCTTGGTACAAGTATGTGATGTATTTTTTTGCTTGTTTGTTTTGGTTGTTTACCCATTTGTACGAGTAGTAACTTGATATTAGTGTAGCAATTATCATAAATGATAATGATGCATCATACCTTTCTTGATCCCAATCTAATAACAATAATTTGGATGATTAATATTACCATATTTAAGAAAAGAAAAATCGATACAATTTGTAACAATAAAAATTACATTTAATAGCATCAACACGCCATTGTGGATATCCAGTAAATCTAGCAGGAACTTGTTCAGGTATATAATCATGATTTATAAATACAAATGATAATAATAATGTAATTAATACTAAAACATGTATTGTAATTGCTCCACATCCTCTCAACATTATTATTTATTATTTTATTATTTGCAGAATGTAATAAAAATTTGTTACTTTTTTGTTTGTTTACGTGCAGGCCGAGTGATACGAAACTATCAGTAGAAATATGATTGGTTAATTTTTTACACATGACAGAACTTTCGAATATCTAGTTGGGAAAATTTATTGGCCTTGCAGATCCTTCAACTCCAAAATTGATTATATATAGAGATTCAAGTGATCTAGACAAGGCAGAATGAAACAATCTACAAAAAAAAACGTAAAGCTTTTAATTGATGATGCTTTTAAAAATCCTAATCAGACATAAAGAAAACAAATTTTTTTTACATATGAATTAACGTGGTTACATCACCAAATCACTATTTTTTTGCGGCCTTTTACTGGATTTGATGTTCTGGAATTTTGGTAAAAAGCCATGCTTTATTTGCTTTAGTTAGTAAGCAAAGGTTAGGACCAATGTTGCGAGCATTAGTATGGATTTTTATTTATATTTTTAAACACGTTTAATTCTTTTGCATGCATGGTGTTAGTATGACTACTCGGGCAACAATGCTTGGATTCCAAATAATTTCAACATTTCATAATCACCAGGATATTCTTTAATGATATAGTTGATCATAATCTTCAGCATTTTTTGCTATTTTCTTATGATCTACCTACAAAAAGAAATCATAAAATCAATCCTGTTCCCGTGACTACAGTGGTAGTCTTCTATTAATGATTTCATTCTTCAAAATTTTTAGTGTAGTCTCCCCCATTAAAGTAATAGGTTAGGCAAAACAAGATATTGGCAAACCAACAACAAATTGAACAATGCTCAAAGCTTCTAGAACAAAATTAATAATATACCCTTGTCGGGTGCGTACTTGACCATTCGTTATTATTGATATGATATTCAGACTATTGATTATTAAGAGAAATAACCATTGATGACTATATTATATTGGTAGCACAGTTGTGATGTTCAGTATTTTTATTTATATTATATTTTATTAAGTATTAAGTCTATTTCTCCCAAAAATTAAAAATTATTAGTTTACAAATAAAAAATTACATGATAAATATTAAAATACATGATAAATATTAAAAATACATATATATATATTAAAAATACATGGTATATATATATCTATAAATTAATTAAAATTTATATGGATTTTGATTAAGATTTCTAGGGCCCATTAGTCTTCCACCACTATTATTATTATAACCCATATTGTTATAAGCACCTTGTTCACCACCATTATTATATCCCATCATTCTATTATTAGAATTATCATTGTGCGTCATCATTGAATTATTATTATTATTATTCTTTTTATAAATACCTTGTGGTTGTTGTGGTGGTAACGGCGATGTTGGTCTTGATGGCGACATCCCCATTCCTGTTGTTGTTGGGTAAGAAGATGCATTATTTGGTGGAGCGTAAGCTGGTAAAAATTGTGTTTGTTTCTGTGTTTCAAGCATCCATTCATCCCAACGTTTCATTGGGAACCCTGTACGATCAAATTTATTTCCACCTCCTTCACCATGTCCTGTATCTTCACCAGAAATTTTGCGTGTTGCTCCCCATGAGAAATCTTTTTTTAGATAATTAAATAATTAATTTTGATAAAAAACAACAAAAAAAATAATATAATATAGAATGAATATAATTACCATCAAAATGCCAGAACGCATACACAGGCAGAAGAAAATTCCATACCGGAATAGCAAATATATAAACAATCATCCATAATACATACATAACTCTATGAGATGTAAATATGACCAAGATTGCCTGCAGTAAAAACATTCCACAGATGAAAAGCAATGGTAGTAGAACAGGTTGTCCTTGTACTGCCATAACAGCTAAATAAACCAGAAATATTAATGATGAGGGTAAAACTACTGTGCCCACCAATTCAAGGAAAATAACAAATTGCATAGAAAAACAAAAGATACCACAAAGTTGTGGTACAAGAATAAGTTCCATAAGATTGTGAATAGTTGAATTAATCCATCTACGTCGTTGAGAAAGCAATACTTTGAATTCATCGGGTACCACTGTTTTACATATTGCTTTGGGTACATAAATCATTTTGCGCTTAGGAAATGTTCTCAACATTAATGTGGTCAAATATCGATCTTCACCAAGAAGCAAAAGATTTTTTTGATGTAATGTCTCGACCGTATTCGAAGAATAAACCTCTACTATGTCTGGATTTGCTAGTATTGGAACTGAATATCCATCTTTAGGTGCTTTAATACGATACATACAAAAACAACCTGGCAAGCACGTGACACCACCAAATATAGATTCAAAAGCCTTTCCAAGATGATGTGATATATAATATTCAAAAACCTATATTATTATTATTTAATATGTAAAATCGATTTTATTAATCATTATCAATTTAAAAAAAAAACAATTATATTAATAATATGTTACCTGAATCATTGTAACCCAACTGGCGGTTTTATTAGCGATTTTTGTTTCACCACATAATCCCATAACTGTAGGATCACGTTCCATGGCTGCAATCATATGCTTCACGCTATCCTTTTTAACCACAGTGTCTGCATCTACCATAAGCACCATTTCATATCGATCTGGTGTTAATTTGGTGAGTAAACGAACCTTTTCAAATAATTCAAATTCCAAAGGTGTCATACGCTCATTAAATATTATATGACTTAACCATTGCATCAATATGAGTTGCGAATCTCGTTTACCACGGTTACCAGCCTTTGCTCCTTTTTTTTCTTCTGGTGTGCCGCATTTTATAACTAAAACCATTGGAACTTTATGTTCACTAACATTATAATATCCTATGTATACCTGTGCCATATTATGTTGTTTTTGTCCATCGCCAATGGCTAAATATGATTTAGGTTCAGGTTCTGGAGAACCATCCAATGGTGTTAATAAATCTTTACATATCTGTGGCGTTGATCGATCATTTTCTGATCCTGTTACGTCTCCATCAGCAATAACAAATAATAATTTGTGATCATCTGGATAATCTGACGCCGCCAATGAATCAATTGTTGTGCGCATAGAACCTTCTCCTTCTGAATAACATGTTACCAACAATATGATGTTTGTAATATCACTTTCAAGTTTTGGTTTCTTTGAAATTTTTCCAAGTTGCGAAGATAAAAACCACGAGAATGCAACTGCTGACGTAAATTTAATCAAGGTAATTGCTGTGAAAACCACCGTCATTATTATTAATATTACGTTTGTGGCAACACACCCGATAGTTGTTCCATCAATTTCTCCAACCAAAAAATGATCAAAGCATTTTGCAAAATTTTTATTTTGTTGAGTGCGTAAAACATCTTTAGTCGCATCTTTATGTACAAGACTTCTTAACCATTCCGTAGTACTACTGTCTCCAAGCCATTGTTGATCAGGTGTCAAATTAAGATAGTCTGTAATATCATAGACATTTTCTTTATACACAAACATTTGCCTGTCTCCATCGGTAACATTATCCCACGAGTAACCCACAAATTGATTCATATCAAGTTCTTTAAGAGTCAATAACGATTTTGATGATGTATGACAATGGTATCTTGGATCTGACAATCCTTGAGAACAAATTGTTCCATTGTCTTTTGGTGTGTAAGCACATCCGATAAGTAAATTGTTTGGAGGAAAAAATCCAGAAATATCTCTGCCAAATAATTTCACAATAATGTCGTTCAATTGGTCATCTGTAAATGGCGCAATAGGTCTATGCGATCCACTAAGAAAGTAGACACCAGTATTGTAAAGCCTCCCACGGACAATATGCGCTTTAGCATTAGGTTGGTCAGGTCCAAAGTCTCTAAGGATATTTTCAGGAAGGAGAGGCTCCTTTTTTTGACATGCAATTGTAGCCAAACCAAATGTTAAAAATCCCATAAATCCAGATATGATTAATATTATTATACAAAGTGCAACCTTTTCCCTCCAAGCTTGACGCACATTTGGATCTTTCATTCTACCAATAGTTGATAAGCATGGATTGCAAAAGCATGAAGTTGCTATTAAAGAAAAAATAACCCAAGATGAATTGTCTTTTCTTGGAGCCATATCTTGTTTTAAATGAGGCGCTGTAAATGGTGCAGGATTTGGGTCATCAATCCCAGGGCCAGCGAGACTATAATATTTTGATCTTCTGTTAGCGTTTTTTGGCTGTATGGTACGTCTTGATTGCTCATGTACTAAAGGCATCATAATACCTTTGGATGCATAGGGATTTTGTTCATCTAATTGGATGCTTTGATTTTGATGGCGTCGACGATGAGATTGTACTTGGTGTTGTTGTTGTTGTAGTTGTTGTTGTTGTAGTTGTTGTTGTTGTTGTTGTTGTTGTTGTTGTTGTTGTTGTTGTTGTCGTAGAGGGTCAGGACTTTGTCGTGCATAATGTGCTGTATCACGACCACCAACGTTAGGATATTGATCATGATTCGGGATTTGTCGTGATCTTACAGATCTTACAGGTGGTTTTGTTCCAGGTACATAATTTTCAATTAGATTTGCTACACTATGATGTCCTACATCCCTTGCAAGAATGACAGCTGTTTTATCTTTTGCTGCAATATTTTTATCAGCGTTATGATGCAACAATAAATGACAAATTTCAACATGACCTGCATATGCTGCAATCATTAAAGATGTCCAACCGTACTATTATTCATTTTTTTTTATTTTAAAAAAATATTTTAATTAAAATTATTATAAAATATTTACGGGAAAAAAATTTTTTTTTTTTCAAACCTGATCTAATAAATTAACGTCTGCACTTCTATCCAATAATACTTCGGCTGCTTCAAAGCGACCTGCATAACAAGCCAGCATCAATGCAGTTTTACGAAACTTATCTTGATAATTAATATTAGCACGGCCATAATCCAAAAGTATTCGACATATGTCGGCATGTCCATTATAGGCTGCAATCATTATTGGCGTGATAGTTTCCTACGCACACGCGCATATACGTACATACATAGTTTTAATACTATTATTTTAGATTAATAGAAAATTTAAAAAAACAATTTATTTACCTTGTTTCCTAATTCAACATTAGCATGTGCGACAATTAAAATTTCAACTACTTCCGTGCTTCCGGATGCAGCTGCTTGGTATAATGCTGATTCACCATCGTTATCTATTTAACGCAAAGTAAAAAAAATATTTAATATTTAAAATTTAAAAAAATCAAAATTAAAATAATTTCTTTAATATAATAATAAATATTTTACCTTGTAAATCTATCTTAATATGTAAAGAAACCAATAACTTAACAATGTCGGGACAATTTTCGCAAGCAGCCACCATTAAAGGAGTTTTTCCATCTCTATTTCTTAAATTGTCAGGGTTGAATCTTTTTTCGCTCAGAATTGAACTTACTAAACCAACATTATTTTGAATTACGGCATTAAATATTGCGGTTACAAGGTTTGGAGGCTCGCCAGCAACTGGTGGCGGTGTTCTAGTTGGAGCTGGGAACGTAGAGGGTGCTGGCGAATAAGGTGGTTGATAAAATTCGTCATTGTATTGCATTCTGGGGCTTTGTTTTTATTGATTATAATTCCTTATGATTAATTATCAAGGGAAGGCAAATATATATATGTAATTATTTATTTATATATATAAATTTTTTTGAATCTTTTTTTTTAAAAAATTTGGGAAAAGTCGCCTGCGGCAAAAGGATTTATTTTTTATAAATTAAATTAACATTAGAATATGGATGATGACGATATCAAGGGGATGGAGGAGAGAAAAGAAAAGGAAGGTAGGTGTAAAAAAAGAATTGTGTGGAATTATTGTTATTACTAAAAAAAAAATAATGAAAGGGGTAATTTTGATTGAATGTAATTTCAGATTTTGGTTTTTTTTAAATTCACAGCTAAATTTGTTAGTCTTGTGTTGCAAAGAAAGTTGAACAATGTTCTCAACACTAAATTAATTAAATAATATTGTATTAATTGGGTTAATTTAAAATTAATTGTATTTATTATTATTATTATTATTATTATTATTATTATTATTATTGTTAATATTTTAAAATTTTCGGGCGACTTTACTAACATAAAAACTGATACTTGTTTCCCGTTAATAAAATTAATTCCTTTTTAGAGTTTGGCGCTAGTCATGTACCGTTGTAGTAGTACGAAATTTCAATGCAACCCGAAATTTCTGCTAAATATTGGTCAAATAACCTATTTATAGAATTGGAATATTATTAATATTAAATAAGGAGAACCTTTATTATTATTATTACTATTATTGATCTATTGATACTCGATAAAAGGTAATATTCGCTATAACTAGAGGTTGCACCCAACCTCATTGAATCGGACATTTTGCTTTTTCATTGATTGATTGACCGGATATGATGGATCAAAAGTGAATATTCATTTCTAACTAATTAAATTAATTTTTTCACTTGCATTCATTTAAAATGTAAGAAGAGAGAGCTTTCAGTTACGATGATGGAAGAGGGAGGAGTCTTCTGCTGCTCATTTTTTGAAGTAAAAGGTGGTTCTAAGAAGTCAAGTTGGATATGGAAAGATGATCCATTCCAGATTTTCTGTTTTGTCAAAGTAAGCTATTAAATACTTGCGTGCACCTGCAACGTCCAGAGAGATTATTAATCAAGCTGGAAATACAATGATTGATGATTTTGATAGAATGTGAAATGTTTAATAAATTTAAAATTTTTTGTTAAAAACGAATATATTCACTGAATAATTAATTTAATCGCCAAATGAATGAGTATCTGGATATTGAATGAATATATAAAATGAATGGATATTCAGTGGTAAACAAATGTTTCAAATTTTTTTAGCACTTTATCCAAAAATCCCATCATAATAATCAACATCGTGTCACAATAAATTGGCCTCTAAAAATAGAGTTGTATGGTAAATTTATTTAATGCAAATCACACGTTACACTCAATTTACAAGTTATGTTTATTACAATTTTTTTTATATTACATGAATTTCTTTCAAAAAAACATTTACGAAAATGCTTACCTTCACCACCGAATTTATCTATAGCTAATTAATCGGATTTTTCCTTGGTCTTTTGAGGCTTTGTGGAAAGGATTTCAAAACAATCAATACAGATTTTCCCGAAATATTTTAGCAAGAATTTTTTTAATATTAATATATAGATTTAGTTAGTAAGAAACAACAGTCCAATGCATTTTACATTAATGTATTAGTATTAGATGTGAAAATTGAAACTAATAATTAAAAATTTTAGGGTGGTGCTTGGATATGAAAATCTGATTGGCTAATTTGAATTTCACGCATGTAAATCGCAAATAATTTAACAAATAAGTGTTCAATAATTTAATTTCAATAATTTCAATAGTAACAAATTATTCGAATTATTGGTTTTATTCGTTTTATTCGAATACTCGAGTTCATAACGAATAAAACCAATAATTTGAATAAGTCAGAACCCCTAATATAAAAAAGGTTTCGACCAGGGATTTTAAATTCGACAGGGGTTTCAGATTTCGGCAGAATTTCTGATTCAACATTAGTATTAGTTTCGAACTCAAAGTTCGGTCCTTCAGTTTCTGCCATATCCTTGGCCACGATCGTGATTTAATAAAAAAAATTTTTTTTTAAAAAATTAATTTTTTAATTTTCATACTTTAAAATGACAATGATCAAAGAGCAATTGAAAAAAAGTATAAGAATGTGAAGAAACAAAAAAAGAGTTGAAAAAATTTAAAGATGAGGGCAAGGAAAAAGAATTGAACGAATTGGAAGGGAGAAGAAGTTGGATGAAAGAGAAAAAGGTTGGATGATGAAAAGCAAAAGCTGAAGAAGGAAAAAGAGGTTACGTGGGAGAAGGTTAAGAAATGGAGGAAGTCATTACGAAAGAAATTGGATGAAGAGAAAGATAATGAACAAATTGCATAAAAAAATATACAAAAAATTATTTTCACTCATTCTATTTCATTTATTTATTATCCGTTTGAGAGAATATTTGTACACTGTTTGCAATGTCGAATAATTTGTTATTTGTTCGTCTGTTAATACTCTTTGTGATGTTTACTAATTTGATTGAACATGACAATGACAATTGACAACATGTTGATCTTTTTTCTTTAGTACTCATAAAAATCAAAATTGAGGATGCTTTTCCCGGAGGTAGGTATAACTTTCTTTTCTTATATTATGGGGTTCACCATTCAAAAAGCCCCTGCTTATCAGTACTGGTTTGGAGTGAGACTACTAACCAGGTAAAACGTCGTATGAAAATTTGCAAAAATGTGCTTGTTAAACATTATCAAAATTTTAAGAAGAATAAAACAAAAGTGGCATTCCATTTTATTTTTTTTCATCTGGACATGGCGAGCCCCGGACGAGTCGGATCACTTTAAAATTCGACTCGATTCGATCCAAACCGGATTCCTAAATTTCTTTTGATGTCATATTAATGGTGTTTCTATCCGAGTAAGTATTTGGTGTGAAAACCAAAATCACATTTGTTCATAACATATTGGCTTCTTTTTTTCAAAATCATAATTGGCACATACTTACTACAGGTTTAGGTATAAATCGAAGTCCATAACATAACTCACAGTCTTTTCCCAATTCTCTCCATCTTGAGATGAAATTATACAGATCTTCCAATTATTCCATACTAAGTAAAGTTTATCACCAAAGTTTTCTAATAAGAAAGAGGATGTGAAATATATTGAGGATTTAATCATGTATGGTTTGTGCCAATTGATATCCATCATCAGTACAAGAAATACTTATTCCTTATAAAGGTTATCCTTGAATGTTTTCAAAGCAACAGAAAAATATGTATACTAATCCAAATCAGCCCACAATTGGGATTGGAATCAAAAGTGGCCAGAGTCTATAGAGGCTTCGTATTCCGTACATCTGCGCTTCTGTAGTAAATAATGCTCTATATGGAACAAAAATATGGAATCGAAGATCGCAGACTGTCCCCCACCAATCGACTTTTCAGAATTCACAAATTCCGTTCCGTACAAAATTAAAAAATAAGAATAAAAAATGTACGGAGCAAAAAAAAAATAGTGTACGGAATTGAAAGTTGTACGGAATCTCTAGTGACTGAAGTGGTCAAAGTGAATAAGTCATCCAATTATTAAAGTCATGATATGCAGCAGTTTTTTAAAGATTGAAAATTGTCTTTTTACAACTTTGATGCTTGACAAATCAAAACCATTGTTGTAGGAAAAGGCAAGTACTTTTGAAGTGTTCAGAAAGTACCAGATCATATTTTACATAGAGCAATCATTCCAATCAACACTGCTGACAGTGATGTGAATAACAATGCTGAGGTAGTCTCAGTTATACATGAGGTCGAAACTATTTCAACCATTTGCAGATCTGGTCGAAATAGGGTCGAAACTGATTTTTACTATGTAGTTGCCTCAAGTCGAAACATTTCGACTTCATGTATTTTGAAACTGTGCTTACTGTTACAGTAAGAATGTTTCGACCGCCAGATAAAAAAAACAGCTTTACAAAACCAATCCATGGAATCTCACACTGCGACTACAAAATGCAATGTATGGAAGATGATATGGGCGAGGAAAATAAAAGCTACGGGAAGGAACATAAGCTTGGTTATAAATATCATCCACAGAAGTGATATCACAAAAATGTTTGACAAAAATTTAGCATATAATTTTCACTATTAAACTTCCCAAGAGATCGGAATTGAAGAAGTTGCCAATTATTTGCTATGATGTTCAAGGCAATTTGGTTGTCATATTGGATGATATAATGTACAGTTAAACCTTGATAAACCGAACTTTTGGGAATCAAAATTCGGTTTATGATACAAATTATTCTAAACAAAAATATTTATCTAAAGATTGTTGCGCTGAACTATTAATCTTATGACTTGATAAATTTTTCCAAGAGTACGAATGCACTTTAATTCATCTTCGCATACATCGAAATCACTTAGAGGGCATACTAAAAATTTAATAAATTCCATTATGGTATCTTTGATAGAAATTTCTGGAATAAAGGTTTCTCATCTATTCCTGTTGGCTGAATTAATGCAATAATATCCTCATCTTCCATTACTAATTCATCTGCAACCATGTTATTCTCAATATTTTAATACTCGTCCGCTAAAAGTGAATCATCAAATGGGAGTTAGTTAATTAAATCTTGAAATTCACGATTTCCTCGTTCAATATCAACTTCAACTTCAATTTCAACATTATCAACTTCAATATTATTCAAAAATTCTAATTATCGTGCTGTTTTATTAGGACATGACATGGTTAAAATGGAAAGTAGATCGAGCATTATTTTTAAGCGTTATCATTATAAGACGAATTTTAAAATCAGTTTATGATCATATTCGGCTTTTATTATTTTGTACAAACCATTAAGTTCGGTTTATCAAGTAAGATAGAAATTATAATAAAATTCGGCTTAACGATGATTATAACCAATTTTGCATCGTTATAAGCGAAAATCGGTTTATCAAGGGTTGACTGTAGAATAGAGATAGCCTAAATTGTCAAACTTTAATATTTGACATTTCTATGAACTTAAAAAATTAGAAGGTTTCGGACATTGTTTGTTGTTTATCTAAATAATCCTTTTGCAACCCTTAGGAATGGAAATTCAAAGGGGAACAAGGGCCTTTGACTTAATTGACATTACATTGGGAGTTTTTTTCGAAAAATCTATTAGTATTAAAGTTTCACTATGTCCAAGCATTTTGGCGGTTGAAAATAGCAAAACAATTATAGATAAGAGTCTCGGACTAAATAAGCTTTGCATTAATGTTGTGCGTGTGAATTTTAAATTTTAAATTCACACGATTTGGTTTTGGTTCACCACATTAAATAATATAGATTATTTACCTGTTCACTTCATATAATAATATATTATTAACAATTTTTTTATTAATTAATGTCTAAAATCCCACCCATGGTTAAAAAAATAAATTAATAAATAGTCTATATTTATATCTTAAAATTAAAATTAAAATAATTGAATACAAATTGTTTAGAATAATAAAAATCCTTATTTATTTGTGCTTAAATCTTGTTCTTGTACCATATTATAATATATACCATTCTTTGATAATAATTCTTGATGAGTACCTTGTTCACGTACTTTGCCATCTTTTATCACAAATATTACATCAGCATGTTGTACTGTACTTAATCTATGTGCAATTGCCAATGTTGTTCTGCCTTTAGCTGCCAAATCTAATGCCTTTTGAACAACCTTCTCTGATCCTGAATCAAGTGCTGATGTTGCTTCATCAAGTAGTAAAATTTTGGGATTACGAATCAAAGCTCTTGCTATAGCAATCCTTTGTTTTTGTCCACCAGATAATTGTGCACCTTTACTACCTACATAAGTGTCATAACCATCTGGTAAATCTTTAATAAAATCATGTATGTTTGCTTCCTTGCATACTCTTTCAACATCCTCTTGTGTTGGTGATTGTCCTTCCCTGGCACCAAATAGCACATTATCTTTAATCGTCATATCATAAAGTGATGGTTCTTGTGAAACAAGCGCTATGTTTGATCTAAGATCATTAATATTCATTTTGGAAGCATCAATCCCATCAACTTCAATTCTACCAATTGTTGTTTCATAAAATCTCTCAGTCAATCCAATTGTTGTTGATTTACCACATCCAGAAGGTCCAACTAATGCAGCAAACTGTCCAGGTTTGATCTCAAGTGTCAACCCTCTCAATACTGGGACATGTGGTCTTGTTGGATACCGGAAATGTACATCAATAAATTTGATATGTCCCTTGATATTATTGACTCTTTCACCATCATTTCCTATATTTTGTTTACTCTCCAATAATGCAATTATGGATGCAGCTGCTGATTTTGCTTTTACAATATCTGGTGCAAATCCAAATACACGTCCAGCTGACATTGATCCAAAAATAATGGCTACAAAAATTGTAAAAAATTTTTGTAAATCATATTCACCAGTCCTAAACAATACACTTCCATACCAAAATGCCAATCCATTAATAAAGAATAATATAGATTGTGCAACTGCAAATGCAATTGATGCATAAAAAGCATTATATGTTCCTTGTTTCATTGGCTCATCCAACAAATGATGATAAATACTCCACAAGTCATCTTCACGTGTAAGAGCTGCAACAGTTCTCATGTTGGCTGTACCTTCACATGCAATTTGAGCAGAATGTTCATATGCTTTTTTGGTTTTTTCTTGAAATCCATTTAACATTTTCATACGTAATAAACTAGATCCTATCAATAAAGGTATTGTTGCCATACAAACTAAAGCCAATTTCCATCCAACTGCCAATGCAACTATCAATCCACCAATTATAGTTGCAAAAACTTGTAAAATTGTTCCAAGTGTTGCACCAGCCAATCCATTCACGTGTGTTGCATCCAGTGATAATGAACTTGTCAATACACCAACTGTATGATTCTCCTCATCAAAAAATGATATGTCTTGATGTAATATTGCTGCAAATGACTGTGACCGTATGCGCTGTGTAAGGTTTTCACCAGAAATTCCAAATGTTATCCCTTGTATAAAATTAGCCAACATAGTTACAACAGCAATAACCACTATATAATGTAATTAATAAATAATATATAGTAAGTATTCATAAATTAATAACATCTAAAAAAATTCATGACATTGTAAAAATAAAGGAAAGAAAATACACACAAAACATAAGTGACCAAAATTTGGCCTCTTGAGTTAATTCGTCACCAGTTGTAGCAAATGCTTGTATGATTTTTGAAAATATCACAGCATACACAGGTTGAACAGAACCAGCCACAATAGCACCAAATAATCCAAGAACCACTAATGGGAGTTCTGGTCGATTTATAGCAACCACTTTTCTTATAAGTTCGAATGTTTTATAATCACTATCTCTTTTGATACCAGATTCAATATCAGCTAACCTTTTAGACATTATTGCTGATGATGCTGACTTATTTGACTTATTTGTAATAATGCGACTTATTTGAACATCATCAGGAAAAATCTCCTCTAGTTTTTCAGTTGGAATTGATAATAATGATGAATCTTCAGTTTTACTTGTTATATGTTGAGCTTCAACCAATTTAAAATAGTAACCTTCTTTTGCCATAAGTTCATTATGATTACCAGATTCAACAATAACACCTTTATCCATCACAATAATTTTTGTTGCATTTTTGATTGTTGACAAACGATGGGCAATGACTATAGTTGTACGATTTTGTGAAGCTTTATCAAGAGCATCTTGTACAATTCCCTCACTGTTGGTATCAAGAGCACTTGTGGCCTCATCAAGTAATAAAATTGTTGGATTTTTAACAATAGCACGAGCAATTGCTATACGTTGTTTTTGACCACCAGATAATAAGAAACCACTTTCACCAACCATTGTGTCATACTTGTTTGGTAATTTCATAATGAAATCATGTGCATTTGCCATTTTACATGCAGTTTCAATCATCTCATGTTTTTTTTCATCATTAAGCTGCTCATACTCTGAACCAATCAAGCCATGAGCAATGTTTTCAGCAATTGTTGTATTGAAAAGTACAGGTTCTTGACCCACCAAACTCATTTGTCTACGTAACCATTTCAAATTAAATGATTTTATATCATGACCATCAATTGTAATACTTCCCATAACAGGATCATAGAACCTGAGAACAAGTGATACAATTGTACTTTTTCCTGACCCAGATGAACCAACCAAAGCCACAGTGGAACCAGCTGGAATATTCAATGAAACATTATCCAAAGTTTGAACATCAGGCCTTGCTGGATAAACAAAAGAAATATTTTTAAGTTCTATGTGACCTTGAACACCATCTACAAGTTGTTCACCTTCCTCAGACAAAGAATCAATTACTGGAACCCGTTTAATTGTTTCAAAAATTTTTGAACCTGCACTAATTGCAGAACTAAAAGCTTGAATCTCAGGTGCAAGACTTCCAAGAGAGAGAGCTCCCATCAACACAGCAAAGAATACATTTATAACACTTCCAGGAGCCAATTCGCCAGATAAAATCAAAGTTGATCCAAACCAAAAAGCCAAGCCATATGTTGTATAAATAAAAAATTGGATGAAACCCATTGAAGTACCCCTGACTATAGATTTTTTTATGCCTTGAACTTTAGCTTTTCCCAAATGTACATCATATAATTTAGAAAGTTTTTTCTGGTTCCCAAATGCCACAGTAGTTCTGATTGTTGCAATAACTTCTTCAGCTATTGTACCAGCAAATGAATAAGAATCCAAGGTTTTCCTCATGTATATTGAAGTGAGTTTATTCATGATTCCAGTTGTTATTACAATCAATGGTATTACACAGCAGATCACAAGTGTCAATTTCCAACTTTTTACAAAAGCTATAGTAAGCGCAGTAATGAATTCACAAATATGCTAAAAATAAAGAAAAATTAATTTATATCAAGATTAATATAAAAAGAATGAAATAAAACTATTTAAATGGATTTGATAATTACTTGAACAGCCACGGGAACTTTTTCACTAATACCATCTTGGATCAAATGAGTATCAGAAGTGATACGAGTTGTTACTTCACCAGCACCAAGTTTATCGAAATAAGCAATATTTTGACGAAGCACCGCACGAAGATA